GACCGGCTCTACATGTATCCCCGGCCTTAAACTTTCGGTCCATCATTTTTATTAAGTATACTAATATTTTTACTGTGTTTAATTTCAAACAATTCCAAATAGAAATTTGGATCGCACCGGAATGCCGAATGGGTATTACAATTTTGGGAGTTTTAAAATAAACATAAGGGTGTCGAATATAAATACTTAATATTGCAATCATCCCAAGTTATGAATGATTGGATGTGAGGAAGAATATATATATATATATATATATATATATATATATATATATATATATATATGAACACCCTGTGCAAGAAGAAGTAGCATCAGCCATGTTCTAGCAACCTTAGATTCTAAGAGTGTGTGATTATTTTAATTGACAGGCTGTTTGGGGCTAACCATATTAATAAAGTTTTTAATGTGAGAGCTTAGCTTGATTGTCGGGGATAAACAACCATTTATGAGTGAAGCATGCCTTTCTATCCTTTTTTTTCCTTTTTCTTTTTAATTGGCTAATCACAAGATTCGACAGCAATTTCTCGGCGATAGCGATTTTTCTTTTTAGTAGTGAAGCAACCTGCAACCAATCATTTAGATGATGAATAAATCTACTCTCTCGCATGCCTTAAGAAAGACGTAAATCATATCAGACTAACCATGTAGGGATATTTTTTTCGTTGTGTAGGGATATTTTTTTCCCTTGTATTTTCAAAAATATTTGATGGAATAAAAAAAAAAATTGGACAAAAAAAATAATACGTGACAAAACCTATAACCATTGACAAGGGGATTCGAACTTGACTTAATTGACACAAGCTCTCTTGTTCCAATCGCTTGGCCATCATCTCTTACGAGATTTAGGATATTGATTTTATTTTTATGAATGATGAGTTATAGAAGTAAATTTTTCAACCATACGAAAGACAAGAGAAAAATAATTAAAATTTCATAAAATTATGTCTGTGTAGTAATAACAAGACCTTTTGATGTGTTTCAAATTGAGTGTAATAGTTTATTATTCTCAGTTAATTTTAGTAGATAGAGTTTATAGTAATGTGGTTTTTTTTATTGACGTGTGAGAATAACACACACAAAAAGAATCCCGTGACCGAGTCTCAGACCTTACGTTATAATTTATTTGTAAATGTCTTAATTGCAATAAAACTAAAAAAAATGGTCTCATAAATAATTATAAAATTTTCAAAACGTTACATGTATGTATGATGTATCTATATCTCTATACCTATAGATACTGAGAGAGAGGAGAGAGATAGAGGGAGAGCACGTGGGTGAGGGAGGCCCCGCGTTTCCCGGTGCAGCAGAAAGGGCAAAGCAACATACACAGAAAAGGGATGCAGCACGTGACTTTTCTTGCTTTACTACCACCATACCTACATACATACTCTGCCCCTTTCTTTTACCAAAAAAGAAGACAAATTCTTGCAAAAATAATATCACAAAATTTAATTTAAAACTAATTCGTCATTTAAGATCAATTTAATTTCATTAAAATATATGCATATTTGTAGTAGATATATTCGAAAATACATTTAATTTTTAAAGGCGTAATTGGACCTAAAATTCAAATTTTTGTTGATCTTGATACATAATTTTCACCTTTATTAAACTCGTACATAAACTTTTTATTTATTTCTTATAAAATAAATCAGATGGGGATTCAAAATTCTAAAATTTTGTATTTGCTTGTCCAAAAAATACATTTACAACTTTTATTTTAATAAATATTTTTATTGCAATATTATGTATATATATTTGATGTCAAATTCCAAGTGAGTATAAAAGCTCCGCCAAATTTGATTATATGTTTTCATTTCGCTTTTCTATATCGATTCTTAAAATTATTTGCAATAGATAACTTTTTACTTATATATATATATATATATATATATATATATATATATATATATATATATATATATATATATATATATATATATATATATATATATATATATATATATATATATATATATATATATATATATATCAAGGTTCTAAATATCGGTTATCGGGTCCGAGGCGGTTTGGGACTGCCACACGATAAACCGGTGCGGTGGTGATTAATCGGAGATATATCGGAAATAAATCGGTTTTTAGATTTAGTGTAATATATTTCTAAATATTAATTATAAATACTTAAAACGTATAAAACAAAATTGAATTTGATTCTCTCCTCATCGTTTATATATCCTAATCACATAACAAAAGTTTAACATTAATAGTGAGATAGAGAATGCCGCCGCGGTGTCAGGATTGTTATGTATTTTTGTTTTTTTTAGGCCAGGTTTTTCTTACGGAGTCGCTGAGTTTGGGTTTGATTGAAAGAGATAATGGGTTGGAATTGAAAAAAAAAAAATAATAATAAACACCCTATTTTCCTTGTAATAAAAAATAAATAAATAAATAGAAAAAAAAATTTTTTCCGATATATCGCTCGAAGTTTGACCCGATATATCGGTTTGACCCGCCACAGACCGCCTCGGACCGCTTCACCGTCAAAAAACCGATTTTCAAAACCGCCACACAAATATCGTAAAAGTTTATGCCCGCCACCGATATGGCGGCCGATATATTGGCCGCCACAACCGATATTTAGAACACTGATATATATATATATATATATATATATATATATATATATATATATATATATATTATATTTTTATTATTATTATATAGTATTTTTTTAGTTAAAACCACTACTACTTGTTTTCTTGTATTTGGCACTCCCTCCGTCCCAATTTAAATGACGTTTTGGGTTGTTGCACATATATTAAGAAAATCAATAAATGTGTATAGATTATAGTAAAAAACATAGGAAAATACTAATATATCCTTGCATTAATTATTTTACAACTAACTAATTAGGAGTGATAAAGGGTAAAATTGAAAATAGTGCAATTAATGATGCATTGAAAATCTAAAATTACAAATAATTTGGGAGAAGAAAAACTCTCTAAAAAGACATATAATATGGGACATAGGGAGTACACGATAAATCCTAATGTTATGATACCTCTCATTCACTGACAGCATAGGGATTAAACAAAAAAAATTGAGTGAAATAAAGGATAATTTATGAATAGGGATCTGTGCACTAATCATGGTATTTAAGAAGGATTATTGATAATGTTTTAATTACATTTGAGGTCAACGGGTTAAGTGTTGGTTAGTCAGCTTAAGTAGTAGAGCAGCAAGTTTAGCAACAGTACTTCCTTTTTTGGTCACGTGAGCTGCTCGCTCCATCCAACATTTACAACATTACAACATAACATTTACAGTGCAGCAGTTTTCCAGTCCCGAATTTCGAGGTGACTCTGACGTTGTCTCGGCATGCCCACTTGCACGTGCACACAATTATATATATGGTTTTCTCATTCTCAAACTCTCTCTAACATGTCTTTTTCTTTCAATTCTGTTTTTTCCATATATATAATTATTTATATATTTGCATTATTCACTTTATACATGTATACTTTTTATTAAATTATTGCGTTTGAAGTGAATGTTAATTTTATTTTCTAAAATGTTAAATGCCGTTTCAAATTATTAATTTCGTTCTGACTTTAAATGTAATTGTGACAATTTTTAGTCTGATTTTGGTAAAAATTAAAACACGAAAATCCTAGTCAAGTACAATAGATTTTTAATTCAACTTTAAATCAGCTAGATTGGATGTTGGATGACAAAATTAATTAATGCCTTAAATTTTGAAATTTAGATAACTCAAAATATTGAAGTTGTTGGCAGTGTTTATCGATTTGTACATATATTTTTCATGTCAAGTCCAATCTCGATGATTCAAGTTAAATTAGAAAGTTAACTCGAAGGTCTACAAATTTCGTGTCTTAAGTTTTGCCAAATTCAAACTAGAAAATTGTCAAAATCACGTTTGAATTCATCAATTCAAGGTCCGTTTCTAGATCGGTTTAATTATGGGTATAATTTATATAGTTTTATTAAAAAAAATCAGAAAAATCAAAAACATTTTTTTCGTGGAAACTGACGGGTCAGGGGATTCAACCCGCTGTTTAGTTGGTTCGACCTATCCATTCAATCAAAATTAATAAATTATTAATCTTAATCATTGATCTTTAATAATGAAACAATCATTACAGTATATTGAAAGAAAATAGAAACCCAATATTAATGAGTCAGAGAAATATGGACCCTTAAATGTTCCTCAAAATATAATTACGATTACGATTTCGATTTTGGGTAGATGACTCATTGACCAAATTATCGGCCCGTTGAGCATCGGCCGTGTCTGATTTGGGTTGATCCGAAACCTGGACGTGTCTATCAAATAAATTTAGAAAATATAATTTCACTAAACTTAAAAAAACTATCTAATTTTATAAAAAAAAAAAAATTAATTAGATAAAATTAGAGCACTTTTACTTACCAAAAGATGAACTATGTACACAATTATAGTGAGCTCCATAAATTTATTTCCCCAATAATTAGATGTATAGGGTTAATTAGCTCTCTTTGTCAAGACACATACACAAAAAGGATAATACATTGAGTTATGAGATGATATATAAATTGAGTTATTATTTCTAAATCAAAGATTAATATATTAACACCATCCCCTAATAATTTCATATCAATTTGTTTTTTCCTTAAATTTTATATTAGTGGTGCATTAATTGGCTCGGATTCCCACAAGATTTTAGCTTTAATAAATAACGAGTATTAATTGGGATCACCAAAAATCCCATTAAAAAAAACATTTCAATCCGATGCCCGTACATGACAGTGAGCAACCAAACGCCGTAGACACCGCCGCAACGCCGTTAATAAACGGCGTTACCGCCTAACGGAAACAAACGAGCCATAAAATGAACCAACCATGGTTTATTCGGAGAAACGAAAACGAAGAAGAAAAAAAGCTCTCTCACCGCACCCACCCCCACCCCCCACCCCCACTCCCCGTCCCCTCCGCTGTATATATGTATATCCATCTGTATATATATATATACACACATATTTAATATAAAATAAGAAAGAGTCCTCCATTTCCAAAGGAAAAAAAAACTTTTAGAGAGAGAGAGAGAGAGAATTTAGTGAGAGAAACACTGCGCCATCAATCCTGCCAAAGTCGCTGTCTGGATCACACTTTCATCTCACGCTTTTGTGGTCTCTCTGAAGAATCTGTAGCTGAATTATGCATTATCCTTCCTAATTTCGATTCACTGTATGCACATATTTATATATATATATATATACATACATATCTTTTACTTCCAGCTTTTCCATCTCTGGATCGATCTCCTTCATTTTTTTCTTTTTTGTTTTTTTTTCGGTGGTGATTCGTGAATTATCTTTTATGGTGAATTTTAAAAGTTGAATTATGCATAATTCAGTTGAATTTCGACCTGCAGATTGGTGGAGAAGAAGCTTCGTTAATGGAAGCAGTGTTTGCCTGAGTTGAAATTGTTCCCGTTAATGAACTGAATTTCGATTGAGTAATTAATCTCCGACGTCGTGTTTGAGAAGAAGAAGAAGAGGAGTTGCTGCTAATTAATGCGCCTCCGATCTTGAGGTTGGAGGCGGATCTGAATTCTGATTCGAAGAACCGATTTTCTGCACACCGAAAAAAAATCTGCAGATTCAGACGATAAGAAAATGGAATTGCCTCAACCCAGACCTATTGGCACCGAAGGTAAAATAAAATAAAATTAAGTAACCAAATTTTCGAGGTATAATAATATTTTTTTATTTGATTAATTAATTTGTTGAAAACAAACAGGTAGAAAGGCAACCCATGATTTTCTCTCACTGTACTCATCCACACCACCCGCACATGCCCAACAAGATCCAGCTCCTCCGCAAGGTTAATATTCCGTTGATTTGTTCATTCACATGCACTACCTGCAGATTTTTCTTTCCTTCATTTTTTTGCATGTTTTTTTGTTTTCATGGGAACTATTTTTGATTGATTTTTTTTTTTTTTTTTAATAATTTTGAATCTGTTGCTTCAAAGTTACCAAGATTTTTACTTGGTTTTGTTTTTCCTCGGAGATTTCTTCTCCCTTGAACCACACGAACATATTAAATTTGTAATCATAATCATCAATAGAAAAAATAAGAGAAATTATCTGTAGAATTCGATATAGCAGAGAATTATTAATTTGTTTTTTCAAAAAAAATAAAATAAAATAAAAAGAGACGGTAAAAAAAAAAAGAAGGAAATAAAAAAGTTTCCGGGATTTAGGATGTTGTGGGGCAATGTAAAAAAAAATGCATGATTGTGGGTGGGGGAAGAGGAAATATCCGATGGCAACCCACGAGTGGCGCAGTTAATGTACCCGTGACCCCATCGGCGTATGTTAGATCTGGCCTTTGTCTTTCACACTGGGCCCCACCCATCCCCTTTGTATAGGCTGACATTGCCAAATCCATAAAGTAGAAGACTCAGCACTTAGTAGGCGTGCCTCCCCCCAGGGCATTTTCGACATTTTCATCTTCAACCAATTTACTTCTTTCATATCACCCTCCTCCATATTTTCTAGCAATCACTATGATAACATCCCATTAATAGTTTTTATTTTAAAAGATTTGAAATTTATGAACTTCTATTTGATTAGATTTTATTATTTTTCGGTGAATAATGAAATTTATGCCTTACCCTAGTTAGAGAAATTGGTGATACCAGTATTTTTTATTGACAAAAAAATCAGCAGTTACTCAAAGTTTGATGAGTTCGACCTTAATAAACGTTGACGAGATGGTTCGTGCTCAGGCTGAATGGCGTCGCACTCATTAGGAAAATTGGTAGTAAATGCTTACATCTTCTACTCTCCCCGATTTTCCATTTATAATAGGAATTAACTTATCAAACACTTTCCTTCATGCACCAAACAGTAAGATCATACAACATTAGCATGATATTTGTTATATTGAACTTAGTTGCTCCAAATAAGATTATAATTTTCTAAAATGGAACTTGTTGCCAAATTATTGTTTCAATGAAACACCACTCTCAAAGAAAGTACAGACTAAATCATTAATGATCAACTTAGTAAAGATTTCATTAGGAATTTAATCTGACATGTTTTCCTACAAGCAAATCGACAATTCTGAGACATGATTTCTCGTCGATTTCTTGATTTGATTCTGTTTAAACTGCAGGTGGCTACCTTAAAACTCACGACTTCTTACAACCGTTGGAACAAGTCGGGAAGAATGTGATGTCAAAGGAAGAGAACAAAGTTGGAATGAATGCTACAGAAAGGCCTCCCTTGCCAGCTCCTTCTCCTCCCGCCTCGGTGGAGCATCTTCTGCCAGGTGGCATAGGGACATACAGCATTTCTTATTTCAATCAAAGAGTGTTAAAGCCAGATGGAAGCTTATTTACAGCGCAGGCCATTAATACAACCGCGAACGACGAAAACTCAAACTGCAGTTCCTACACAGGGGGTGGTTTCACACTGTGGGATGAATCTGCTGTTAAAAAGGGAAAGACAGGGAAGGAGAATATTTCTGCAGAAAGACATATTCTGCAAGGTCAAAAAATTCTTACATTTCTTCCCATGATTAGATTGCATCATATCGTTTTTTTGCCAGTTAGTAAAGTAACTGTGACTAGTGCTTGTATGATTCGTTTAGATTGTAATTATCATATAAGTGTCGTAACATTCTACAGAAATACCAATATCTGATAGATTGATTTGTTTGCAGAAGCAGGTGTGAATAATGTGGCGGGAGGGCAATGGACGTCATTTTTGGAAAAGCCATCACAATCGTCTTCAAATCATAAGACGTTCAGTTCTTTCTCATCCTCTCAGTCAGTGACTTTTCTACTCCAATTTATCTATTTTTTTCTATTACAGTTTAGTAATCAGTGTTACACCGAGTCCCCTCACTCGATATTTTGTTCACATATTTTAATTTGAATTTTATTAGGCCATCTTCATCTCAGAAGAACCAAAGTTTCATGGATATGATAACATCAGCAAAGAATGACCAAGAAGAGGATGACGACGATGAAGAAGACGAGTTTGTCATCAAGAAAGAGCCCTCTTCTCACACTAAAGGTTTCTCTTTCTCATGTAGACGTAGTTTTTGTTCTGCCTATTACCACATGCTCGCATTTTATTACGACTGGATTATTTGACAGGTAATTTGTCTGTAAAAATTGAAGCAAAGACTGCAGATCAGAAGCCCAATACACCCCGTTCAAAGCACTCTGCTACGGAGCAACGCAGAAGGAGCAAGATTAATGACAGGCATGCTTTTTAAGCTATTAAGTTAAATATGGTTGAATTATGACCCCTTTTTGTTACTAAAGTTGCATACGAGAAATGGATAAACGTGAATATGTGTGTGTGTGTGGGAACAAGTATGTGCTTTCTAAAACTATCTTCTGAGATAGAATTTTTGGCTTTTCGAGCAGATTTCAGAAGCTGAGAGAGATAATTCCTAACAGTGAACAGAAGAGAGACAAGGCATCGTTCTTATTAGAGGTAAGTGTTGAACGTAAAATTATATATCGGATCAAATCTTAAAAAGTAAATTATTCCGGCATTTGAAACTTGATGAAGCAGTACAATGTTTTCGCAGGTTATTGATTACATTCAGTTCTTACAAGAGAAAGTAAACAGATGTGAGAGTTCCTACAATGTCTGGAACCATGAACCATCAAAGATGATGCAATGGGTAAATTCATGTTCTCACACACAACATATAATATCATAGTAACTGCATACAAAATGATGAAATTAATTCTGCTAAAAGTGCTTTTTAGATTAATAATTAACAAATTGAATGACCTCTTAGTTCAGTGAGTGGATCAATAATCACATTTAATATCTAGTAAGAATAATTTAGTCTATTTATTATTTGGTCGAAGTTACTTTAATTGTACACATCATTAATATAAAGAGGGATGAAATTAATAGCATTATAAATAATTCAATTAAGACTAGTAATCATCAAACTTATTTAATTAACCAATTAAATGGGACTTTAGGTGCATGTTGATTAATGACTTTGCATACTTGGTGGCAGCAAAGAAACTGTCAAATAGCGGAAGGTTTGTTAGACCCACGAGGGGCGAACGCAGATAATAATGTTCCAGCATCAGTATCTGCAGCTACAAAGTTTGACGAGAAGAAAGCTTGTTTATCCCCAATGAACGCACAAAACTTATTAGTAGATTCCGATAATATAAGCAGTGCTACAACTTTCAAAGAGAGGAGTCATCACAGGCTGCAGCCTGAATCAAATAAATCGAAGGCAGTGGTGCAGCCAAATATTTTCAATTTTGGTACAAGTTCGAACACTGCAGTTTCACCAAAGCAAGCATCTTCTCTTGATAAAACAATTACGTGGCCTCCTCTTCCCGAGCGTAATAGAACAAAGGACCAAGAACCCACTATTGAAAGTGGTACCATTAACATCTCAAGTGTTTATTCCCAAGGGTGAGAAGATAGACATACATTGTTCTCTCGTTTTGTTTAATCTTGTATCGTACTGTTTAAAGAAACTAAACTCGTAATTTGCACTTTGGATGTTTGGACAGGTTATTGAATACCCTTACACAAGCACTACAGAGCTCTGGCCTCGACCTATCACAGGCCAGCATCTCGGTGCAAATTGATTTGGGGAAGAGAGCCAACGACATCCCACATTCCTCAACGTTATTGGCCAAGGTGCGAGACTACTTTCTTTCATTCTTCTTTTCCCTTTTTGTAAATTATAATCCACTAACCATTACTTTCTAAGGCCTTGTCTTGGAATTATGATTAAGTTTTGGTAGAAATTATAATCAAGCTTTGTCAAATGTTCTGGGTTTAGGTTTCACCCCGATGATAAAAAGCCTCCCGTATTTAGGCATACGAAAGATGTTTAGTTCAAACACAACCTATGTTATTACACAATTCTATGAAGGATACAACATAAGGACTGTATATTCACAATTTCCAAACATAAGATGATCACGTATTAAATAATCATGGATAATGTAGTCCTAACCAATTCAATCAATCTTATCAATCACATCAACATTCCCAAATGGGACTTTCCCGTAAAAACTAAATAGTTGTGCATTTTACAGGACGACGATGATGATATTCCGGGTGCCTTAACACGTTCTAGAGCTGCAGGTGCAGGGGAGGAGTTCGGCCATGCTTTAAAGAGACTCCGAACTAGCTGAAGTGTAATATTACTAATGCTAAAGAGTACATTAATATTTCTTTTTTTTTGTAGTATTCTTATTTGTCCAATTTTTTGGGTTCCATTTCATTATAAAAGGTTCATCAATGTCCTTTTTCTTGACAGAGATATCTGCCTAACTTAAATCAGGAAGCAAGTGTACATGTATTTTTGTTTCTATATGTTATTTTTTTCTTCTCTCCTCGAGTCTTGGGATGCAAAGATTTCTCAAGCAAGAGAAACTGTCCTCCTTATGTACTATCTGTATTGTTATTATTCATTTTACAATAGAGACTACATTTTCACATTGGGAAACTCCCTGCTTTTTGTTTCTAAGGTCTGAATATTTAATCAATAGCTAATGCTATTTCTTTTTTGTCAAGTAATGTCAGTGATATACATATTTTACATGGCTTCATTCATACCCTGATGGTTTTGTTTGTTTTTTTCTTCTTTGTTTGTTTTCTTTTTTGTTTTTCTCTATCTTTTTTTTCGTTCTGAATTTATTATCATTGTTTTAAGTCTTCTATCCTTGTATGTGTAAAATGTATGAAATTAGTCGGGATATGGGAACATCGATTACGCCAGCTGTGTAGATACTATAAACACTAGGCAACACATAAACATTATTTTGGGTGGCCTAGAATTGTCCATCGACTCTCAAGTCATAAACTATTGCAAAGTATAAACATGCATCTAACTCATAAAATAGCACGTACCTTCATATGTGAATGAACTCACATATTTATGGGTGAAGAAACTGTTGAGGTTGTGGCCCAATGTGTTTGGGCCTGTAGCCCAATTTCTCATTTACATACACACACACATTACTAAAGGAATGGCCCAACAGTGAATAAAGCCCACTTGTGGGAATGTGCTGGAAGGATTAATCTGAGCCGTTGGATTAATCCATTTGATCCTGGCCATTGACCCTTTCTGATCCCCTTGTACTCTCCTTTCCCGTTTTGTGCCCTAGACAATCTCTGTTTTTCCCCTTTGTCCCCCTATGCTCTTTACTTCTTTTGCTCCAGCAACCATGGGCCAAACGCCGCCGTCCTTGGCCGTGCTTGTCATTGTGGTGGTCCCTTCAAAGGTTACATTGGACTGGAGCTTCTATTTAATGTGGGGATTGAAGTGGCAGAATGTAAGACCTAGAGAAAAATCCTAGTTTCAGAACCTTACCCATCTCTTCTGTGAGTTGGGTCTGTGGTGAGTGGGTGAGCTGCTGAGTGCCTCGTTTTCTTGGTCTTACTTCTGATCTGGGTAGGTTAGGGTTTGTGTGAGAGAGAGATTTTTTCTCTGTTGGTGCAATCTTAGTCTGTGTGTGTGTAAGATTTGAGACCTCTGTGGATTTCTGGTGTGAATCAGTTTGGAAGACTGAGCTGTGATTTATTCATTATTATTTTTCAATCTTTCATCCTTATTCATATCTGCTTATTTATGTTTGAATCTTCTAACACCCTTTCTGAGTTTCTGTAAGATTATTCGAGTGGAAACATAACAGTGGTATCAAGAGCTTGGTTGCTCGAAGATCCGCTTGAAGAGGGCTTATAGAACCTAACTTGGTTCTGACAAGGTATTATCTCTCTGAAACCCTAGTTTTTCGTTTCCTGTTGGATTCCTGTGGAGTTTGAGAGCCCAGTGTGGCATTGAGTTGGCCCTGTGTGACGTCGAGGCCCTGTGTGGCACTACTTGGCAGTGTGTGGCAGATGTGCTCATATGTGATTTACTTTTCAACTCCTTAACTGGTTTACTTTTCCGCACTTTTCTCTCTTAGAGAACCTAGACTGCCTCTACTCCAAACCTCCCTTGTTTGGACCATCTAGTGAAAGGAATATGGGGAGGGGGGTTGTCCAGGACATAGGTCCTTCTTCTTGTAACTTGTTGTCACTTTGAGTGTCTTGTCTGCTTTGTGTGAATTTGCTTTGCTGGTTCTGATATGTGTGTAAAACTCTTTTGCTGGTATTCTGTGTGAATCTGTGTGAATTATGAATGCCTATCATGTTGCTCCTTTGATGGAAAAGGTGATTTTTCTATATGGCAACAAAAAATGAAATGAGTTTTGGTTCAACAAAAATGTTTTAAAGCTATTACTCTAAACTATGAAGATACCACACCTGCTGCTAAGAAAGCTGAATTTGATGAACTTGCATATTCCTTGATTATCTTGAATTTAAGTGATTCCGTGATTAGGAAATTAGGGAAGCAAGATAATGCTAAAGCTTTATGGGATAACTGCAAGATCTGTACACTGAAACCTCATTGCCCTCAAACATGTTTTTACTTAAAAAGTTTTTCAGATTTAAACTGGATTTAAGTAAAGATATAGATGAGAATTTGGATATTTTTACAAAACTTGTTCAGGACATTAAATTAACTGAAGATAAAAACATAGATGATTATACACCTATTGTGCTTTTAAATGCTATTCCTGACACTTATAGTGATGTAAAATCGAGAGAATTACACTTTTGGTCCCTCATGTTTGGCCCGATTTCACTTTTGGTCCCCCTTGTTTCAAAGTGAACAAAGTTCACCTCCAAGTTTCAATTTTGAACACTTTTGTCCCCGCCGTTACATGTCCGTTAGAAAGTAACGGAAAACACTAATTTGGGGCGAAAATTAAAATTTTAAATTTTTTTTGGGACTGAAAAATACTTAGAAATTTAAAATAGACTACTTATAATTAAATTTTAAATAATATTAAGTATAATGAAATTTATTTTGTTTATTTATTTTTTTTATTATTAAAAAACAATCATAAGTAATATAATGAAAACTAATATGTATAACGCACAATAATTTATTTAGTTAATTTTTTTTATTATTAAAAAATTAATTATAAGTAGTATAATTATAATAATATTAATTCTAATTATACATGAATTGTTTAGTTAATTTATTTTTTATTATTAAAAAAATAATTATAAGTAGTACTATTATAATAATATTAAGTATAATTAAAAATAATTTGTTTAGTTAATTTATTTATTTTTATTAATTTTTTTTATCATAAGTAGTATAATTAAAAATAATATTAAGTATGATTATAATAAATTTGGTTAGTTAATTTTTTTGTTATTAAAAAATTAATTATAAGTAGTATAATTATAATAATATTAAGTATATTAAAAAATAATTTGTTTCGTTGATTTTTTTTTATTATTAAAAATTATAAGTAGTCTATTTTAAATTTATAATTATTTTCAGCACCAAAAGATTTTCAAATTTTAATTTTCACCCCAAAATAGTGTTTTCTGTTACTTGCTAACGGATATGTAATGGCGGGGACCAAAAGTGTTTAAAATTGAAACTTGGAGGTGAACTTTGTTCACTTTGGAACAAGGGGGACCAAAAGTGAAATCGGGCCAAATATGAGGAACCAAAAGTGTAATTATCCCTGTAAAATCTGCCATTAGGTATGGCAGAGATCAGGTTACTCTTGACACTGTGATAAATGGTTTAAAAAGTAAATAATTGGATTTTAAAAACCAATTAGGGTAATACATCTTTTGGTGATGTTAATTTTGTGAAATGAAAGCCTAAATTCAAATTTCAAAATAAGGACTCTTCCAGTAATAACAACCAATACCAGTCTTTTCAAAAACCTAAAAAGGGCAAGGAGTGGAGTAAGAACAAGGTCAAAGAAAAGAATGAGTGCACTAAACCTAAGAAAGAAAAGAATAATGAACAGGCTAATGTTAACTCTGTGATTCCATCTCTCTGCGATGATGATTGGATCTTTGACTCTGCATGGACACACCACATGACACCTAATAGACACTTATTTGCATCCTATGTGGAACTAAAAAATGGTAATGTGTCTATGGCTGATAGCAGTGGCATAAATGTGGTTGGTTTAGGAACTATTCTTCTTAAGTTTGAATCTGATTTTGAACTCATGCTTAAAATGTGAGACATGTTAATAATTATAGTAGTAATTTGCTTTCTGTTGTTGTACTTGAGGATAGTGGTTTGCATTGAAGTTGGGGAAATGGTTGCCAAAAACTTATGAAAGATAATCAGTTTGTGTTCAAAGCTATTAGAAAGCAAAATCTGTATGCCTGTTCTGCTGAACCTTTGTTGCATGCTAATTCTGTGAAACATGATCATTCTAGTCTTTGGCATAGGAGGTTAGGTCACATAAGTGTTAGAGGGCTTGAGCTATTGCATAAAAACAATTATCTTGATAATGACTGCGTGTCTGATCTTCCCATATGTGACTCATGCATTTTAGGAAAACAGACTAAAGTCCAATTTCATGTGTCTCATTTCCTTAATTCTTCTAAATGCACTGATATCCTTGAATATATACATGCTGATGTGTGCGGCCCTGCCCCAAATTCCTAGTTATGGTGGTAATAGATATTTCCTCTCTGTGGTTGATGATTTTTCCAGAAAAGTGCTTGTATTCTTGCTGATAAATAAATCTGATGTGTTTCAAAGATTTAAAGCATGGAAAGTTTTAATCGAAAATCAAACTAGAAAGAAAATTAAAACCTTGAGAACTAACAATGGAACTGAATTCTGTAATGCTAAATTTGATGCTCTGTGTGTTAAATCTGGCATAAAAAGGCATAAAACTGTAGCTTACACCCCTCAGCAAAATGATGTTGCTGAGAGGATGAATATGACATTACTTGATAGAGTTAGGTCCATGTTAGATGCATATGGCTTATCTAAAATGTTTCGGGGTGAAGCTGTATTAACTGCTGCATATGTGATCAACAGATCACCCTCTGTGCCTCTATGTGGTGAATTGCCTGAAACTAAGTGGTCAGGTAATCCTGTTAGTCAGTCTAATCTTAGAGTATTTGGTTTCTCTGCCTTTGTGCACCAGAAGCATGATAAACTTGATCCCAGATTTGTAAAATGTGTGTTTTTGGGTTATCCAGAGGAGGTTAAGGGTTATAGGTGCTGGCTTAAGGGAGAGCATGGATATAAAACTGTGATTAGTAGAAATGTGATATTCAATGAAAATGAGTTTCCTTGTCTGTCTGTTGTTTCTTCTGAGTCTACCTCTAATGAGGTGGAGACTTCCCCTGTTATTCCTGCTCAACATGAAACTTTGTAATAGTGAAACTGATAACAATGTGGCTGAAAATGATGTCTTTGATCAAAATGCTAATACTAATGTGCCTTATGTGGATAATCTTGGTGATTACCAACTTGCTAGGGACAGAAGTAGAAGGAACATCATTAGGCCTCATCATTTAGATGATTATCAGCTTGCTTCTTATGTGTTTCATGTATTTGAGTCTCTGGATGGTAATGAACCTAAGTCTTATAGGGAAGCTCTTAAATCTAATGAATCTGTCTCTTGGTTAAATGC